GAACTGCTGAACTGCAGTCAGCTGAAGTAGCCTGCAGTGCTGCATTTAACCATGCGCCACGTCGGCTCAACACAACAAATCACATTGTAACTTTATACAAAGGTGCACAATCTGAATTCATAGAGTTTGCATTAGAATCCTCAAAGCCTTCAAAATAGTACCCAAAGACCTTTAACAATTCTTATAAAATTGTATGTGTTCATGCAACACAAGGAGAAAATTATTAAATTTTCACAGAGGAGCAATCATATTACTGTAATAATTCTTAATTTTATATAGAATTAAATGAAATTATATTTTTCTTGGCCCCACTCAGCATGTTTCTGAAGGACAAATGTCTGGAAAAGTTAAACACTATTAACTTAGTCCAATGTATGTATCCAGTCAGTGCAATAGAGCAAGTTTTTTGTGTCTTAGTAAGCCTGAGTCATAAGACAAAAAAACCCCTTGTTTTTGCACCTACCATAGTTATTCAGGAACCAAAATGCACAAATGATCAACTGCTCAGGGAGCTGTCCAGACTTATAATCATTTCCTACAGGAGGAATTGAGGAACACTTACATACCCTGTTTCCCTGAAAATAAGACAATTTTCTTTTGACCCCCAAAATAAGCACTTGGCCCTATTTTCGTGAAGGTCTTTTTATTTTTGAGGTGCAGGAGGTGGCGAGCGTGGTCACCTCATGGCTGCTGCTGTGTTGCAATATTTTTGGGGAGGGCTTATTTTTTTAGCGCATGCGCTCAAAAGACCGATTGGGCTTATTATCCGGGGAGGTCTTATTTTCAGGGAAACAGGGTAGCTACTCCTTCTAAATGTAATGCAACAAATACAAGCATTGTACTGTACTCAACTGTAGTCCATACTGTACAACCACTGTACTGAATTCAAAAATCCCATTTCCTGAGCTTTTTATTTTATTATTTTTATTTTTATCTTCTGCTAAGTCACTTCTGGGTTTCTTCTTCAATCATGGACAGCAATATGCAGCTTTTTCTTGCTGTTTCGAATAGCCCCTAAAATATCTGTTTTAAATCACTGAAGAATCTATTCCATCTTTCCTTTCAAAAGAGCATATAGAGAGGCATTCCCTATCAGGCATCTCTGAGGAACAATAGCTCAAAAGTCATCTGGGGAGCTTCACAGGTGAGCTGGGCAACATTGAACTAGTTCTTGCCTGTTACAGTACAGCAGGGGTGTCAAACTAGTGACACTACATTGCCATCCCTTGACACATCATAAGTTTTCCCTTTGCTAAATTGGGGGTGGGCATGGCCAGAGTGTGATGAATCCAGCCCGTGGGACGTAAGTTTGACATCCCTGCACTACAGATAGTCAACTTACAATCATTTGTTTAGTAACAGTTCAATGTTACAATGGCACTGAAAAAAGTGACTTATTATCGTTTTTCACATTTGCAACTTCCCCAATCATGCCATCAAAATTTGGATGCTTGGCAACTGGTTCATATTTATGAGAGTTGCAGTGTCCTGGGGTCATGTGATCCCCTTCTGGCGCAAAGTCAATGGGAAAGCCAGATTCACTTTACAACCATGTTACTAATTTAACAACTGCAATGATTTAATTAACAACTGTGGCAAGAAAGGTTGCAAAACGGGACCCAATTCATTTAAGAACTATCTCGTTCAGCAACAGAAATCTGGGGCTCAATTGCAAATTGAGTTGCAAATAGAAGACTATTGTATAACCACACTGAGAGGTGGTCACACATTGTTCTGGGCTTTGCTTTAGCCATGATTTATTGAATGAAATCCCAATTAGTTTGCTGGAAGCAGAAGAATAACCCCGAATACCCCAGCCTTATTGTGACACAACATGTTGTGAAACAAGCAGTTGAGTGGCATCATTTTGCTTTCACTTGGACAGCGTTTCTCCAACTTGACCATTTTAAGATGGGTGGACGACCATCTTCCAGAATTTGGGGAAATTAAAATTGCTAAGTTGGAGAAATGCTGCCCTGAGAGATAGGGCAGAGCCGCCCGAGTATCTGAACCGTGACCCGTCAAAACCGCGGTCCACTAAAGNTCATTCATTCATTCATTCATTCATTCATTCATTCATTCATTCATTCATATATATTTCTTTCTAGCATTTTTTCACAAATGCAGGGTCCACTTTGGGGGAGGATCAATTGAGTATTGACGCATTGGTTGAATTAGAAATTGACTGACTGGCTTGTTGTCAGAGCTCGACATTATATGGACTGAGAGAGAATGACTGGCCCAAAGTCACCCAACTGATTTTCATGCCTAACTTTATTTCTTCAACTGTACCCAAAAATGGAGTGGGGTAGGGAAAAAACTATGAAAATGGCTCATAGGAGGCCACAATGTTCCTCTTAAAGTGCCACACATATCATGATTGCTTTTGTAAGAGTAATCTAAAACAGGTAGACCAAGCACTGGAGATTCATCGCAAACCCATGTCTTCTCCACCATAGTGATGTTATATAACAATTGTGGCAAATCCTTTGCACTGCTTAGTCATTTTCCTTTTAGCATTGAAACCTACAATGGGCCACACAGTTTAGGGATTGCAACTATTGTATAGTTAGACCATGTATAATTGACACTGGATTTTATTATAGATTTTAGTTGAATTTTAAGTGTGTGTATGTATATATGCTTTTATTTGTTCTAGTCTCTGGTCTAAGACTGTAATAAATTGTTGTTGTTGTAACAGGTAGACCTCTAAGTTTTCCTTCTCTAACCTGGGATCTTCCAATGGAACTGCAGTGACCAAACATCCTTAAACCAGTAACCTCTCCAATTCCAGAACACTCTTTTGATCCCCATTTGGAATATGGTCCTTTTGTTCTGTTTTGCTTATTCTCTTCCCCTGCACTCGCCTGGCACTTCGGGCCAAAGGCAAACACAAGGCAAAGGCAGATTTTGCACCTTTGCTCCATTATAAGCATTACTCGGGCCCAGAGGTTCTTGTTAAAATGGAGGCCTCATAGTTGACTATCTCAACTCCACTGCGAGATAATATATTTTGGTTCAAATATTGCACTATGCCATTCTTTGTGAAGCCACACTTGGTTAGAACATAATTATATTCAGAACCATCAACAAGATTTGGACACTCCCAATGCTTAGATGAATTCCCCCAATAATTTAAGTTAGCAATAGCAATAGCAGTTAGACTTATATACCGCTTCATAGGGCTTTCAGCCCTCTCTAAGCGGTTTACAGAGTCAGCATATCGCCCCCAACAACAATCCGGGT